GGCTGCTTTCCTTTAGCAAAACCGTCCTCCTTCCTCTTTCTGATGTAGTGGTGGTGCCAGTGACCTCACCACAGGATGGATACTGAGAAGCTGGCTGGGGGTGGCGGGGACCTGCAAGGACTTGTTCCTGCCAGCTGATCTCCTCCAGAGTCACTTATGCACAACGCTGCCTTACAGCTTCACCTGGCCCTATGGCCTTTCACTGCCCCAAAGCTGGGACTGGGCATGATGGGTCTGCACCTGCCTGTGGGTTCAAGCTGTAAGGAGACAGAACACCTGGGGACACTTAATGTGCTGCTGTGACCAGGGCAGCCTGAAGCCCTGGTGGTGTCCTGTCACAGGCAGCACACCTCAAGGCAGCCCAGAGCAGGCTCTGCAGCACACTCTGTCCCCAGGGCCCAGGGATAGCTGGGCTGAGGGGATCCAGCTGCAGAACATGTGTCAGCATCTGCACCACCACCCACCCCCAGCAGCCTGGGACAGCCCGGGCAATCAATGCTGCAGAAGACGGCACAGGATGTGGCAAGGCAGGGGAGACACTGAGAGCTGCATTCCCCATCTGCCCCTGCCAGAGTCTCCTCTGGCTGAAGGTCTGCGTGCTGGAGAGATGTTGGCAGGTCCCAGCCTGGCTGGAGCCCCATCAGAGAGGAAGAAAGTGTCATGAATAACACGCCCGACCTCACCAACTTGACTAGAAATAGCTGCCAGGGGAGTTTTGTTGAGTCACGTAGAAGAGGCTATGGCAGTGAGTGATAATGGAAAGCAGCAGTGGCACAGCCCTACGAATAGGAGGGACAGATGAGCTGATGTCCCAGTGGTGACACATGGGGATGAGCCACTGCCACCAGCCTCCCGTCCCATCCCAAAGCTGCAGAGCAAATGCCACATTAGCTAGGGGCATGTAAAAGCCACCCTTCCCTGGGGAGCCAGGCTATGGTAAGAGAACAGTGGTTAAGAGGACAGTGGTTTGAGATCAGTCACGTTTGGGAACGCATGTTGCAGCAATATCAACAAAAAATAAAACAAATGATACCTTGAGCAGCCATCCTGCTGCCATCTGTGCATGGAAGTGGACTTGCCTGAGCTCTTCAGTCAGGTGAAGCCTGGGGCAGGAGCTGCTGGGTAGAGGGAAGAAAGCAGCGTTCTCTGCTACGATGATTTCACGCCTTGCAACAGCTTAAAGCATGTTATCTTGTATTATCTTACAATAGAGTTGGGGAGATTTAGGCTAACTTATACTCTGTCTAAACCCAGAGGATGAGAAGAGCTCTCCCTGCTCTGCCAGGGGCAGCTCGAGGAGCAATATCAGCCAGGAAATTCTTCAGCTCTGGCTCTTGTCTCCATGGAAAAAAAGAAAAAAAAAAAACAACCACTAAGTCCTCTAATTCAAGTTAGTTGTAGGTAATTTCCACATGAGTTAGCAGAACAGCTAGTTGGAAATTTTTGATAAAATCTATTTGTCTTTCAAAACGCAGATCCAGTGACATGTGAAGGTTTTCCACTGGAAAGAATGAGTTTTGCTGGATTTCTCAACTAGTTCTCTAGAAAATTTGTAAACGATCACAACATCTTTAACCACCACTGCTGTTTTTTCAGACCAAAATTTATACTCCTACTGCCTTACAGCTCAACATGAAAATGCAACATTTTTGGCATCATCACTTTATTTGTTTGAATTTCGGTATTCTACAGATCTTTTACCCCCATTTTGGATCAAGAAAAAGCTTGAGATGCCAAGACATCCCGGGCATAAGGAAACTGTTTCCCCTAAACCGTGGGAAGCTGAGGCTGAGGAGCAATGCAGAACATAGAACATACCCCTCCTGTTACACCAGTCAGTACTGCAGCTGGGTTTCGCTTGACCTCATAGGTAACTCATGCTGCTTTCTGTTGACATGAATGTGGTTTGCAGGGGCAGGGTCCAGCCAGCCCGGTCACACTTTGTCATCCTCCTGTGCCAGTCTGAGCCCTGGGTGCTCACCCCATGCCCTGCTCCTGGCCAAGCTACAAGCATGTCACTTTTCCTGCTGCTGGGAAAAGGAAGGGGGCATTGCCCTTGGCACTGACATGGATTCAGTTCTTCTTGTAGTACCTGTGAGACCACAACCTGGAATCCTGTTTTTCTTTGAATCAGGAAAGCCCACGACAATCAATAAAGATAATAACCCGAGATGCCACTTCTCTGGTTCAGTTTCTGCACCTTCTCAACCCTTTCTTTGGCCTTGGGGGTTCTCCAGGCTTTCTTGTCCTTTTTAAAGCTTACCTCCCTCTCTCCTAGGCTCTGGCAGCCTCCCTGTCCCTCAGCAAGGCCAGCCTCTCTCTTCCACCCCTCTTGCCCTAAGCTTCGTGTGTCTTTGGGCCCTTCCCTGCAGGGCAAAACCAGTACCAGGATCCTTTCTCACATTTTTTAGTACCTGCTTTAGCAGATGCTCTAATACCTGGAGAAAACTTTGGGCATCAGCAGCCTGCTGTCCCCAAGTGCCACCATCCCCACACGGGTCACCCACCAGCTGCTGCTGGTCCATGGGGACACAACACAGCCTGCGTCTACAGTGCTGGATAAACACAGCTTGGGAAGCCCGGGGCAGCGCCTGGCACCGACCGAGCACCCAGTGGTACGTGGTGTCCCCAAGCACCTGGTGGTCCGTGGTGTCCCTGCCGGTCACCCAGCAAGGCTCCAGCCCTCCACAATGCAGGGAGGATACCGGTGGGAGCTGGTAAAGCGGCAGCACATCTTATGGTGACAGGCATGGAAAGTACAGCCTGGGAGGGGGTTTAAATGAGGAACAGAGGCCACATAAAATGTACCAGAAACACCCACCAAAGGTGACAGCAGCATTTTGGGCTCCAGCCAGGCAGTCCCAAAGAGTGTCCCTGCAATGTCACCAAGTGCCTGGGCTGGGGAAGGAGGCTGGCACGGCTTTAGAGACTGGCCGAAGCTGGGCTGAGCTCACCTGCCTGCTATCACAGGGCATGCAGGAAAGAATGTCCCTGTCCCAGGGAGCTCGGGTGCCACCCGAGGATGGGGGACCCTACTGAGCAGAAGAGAGCAAGACAGGTACAGCAGCTCCATGCCCCAAGACCAGCTGGCCATGTCTCACCAGGGACATTAGCTGAGGCCTGTGCTGGAGCAGGGGCCCATGCTGGAGCAGGGGACGGAGCCCGGGAGCACTGGGATGGGAGAGGATGAGGGCTTGCAGTGGCAGTGGGAGGGTGGCTGGCACGCACCGGGAGGGTGGCTGGCACGCACCGGGAGGGTGGCGAACAAGAGGGACACAGGAGCAGGAGCGAAAAGGGGAAGGGTACGTGTGGAAGCAGAAGACCTAGCAAACAGCCGCCCTGGAGCAGGAGGCTGGGTGTTCACCAGCATCATGGGCTGCCTGCCCATCCCAAAGGTCCCTGCAGGGTGGTGACATGCAGCACTGGGCTCCCCCGCGATGCCCCAGGCACCAGCATGGCCGGTCGCTCACCGTGACAAGGCGCAGAGCACCAGATCAAAGGGAAACTGAGGCGGGGAGGGAAATGTGGGTCTGTCAAAGGCACTGGGGGTCCCTTGGGAGCTGGATGCCCATCAAAGGCCAGGAAGCTGCAGCCCCAGCAGCAATATGGGCAGCATGGGAAGGCGTGTGTTTGACAGCAAAAATGCCCTTTGCTTCACAGTAAAACCACGACAAGCTTGAAAGGAAAAAAAAAAAAAAAAAAAGAAAGTTAAGTAATTGGGATTTTAAGTGACTTCCAAGCCCTTTTGCTATCACAGCCACTAAGCCAACAGGTATGTGATGGCCTGGGCCAGCTGGGGACTTTCAGAGTGGAACCAAAGAGATATGAAACAGAAAAGGTTCCATTGCAGCCTTATTTTTATTCCTCCCCAAAGCTGGATCCAGCCCTTTGGGTGCTCATCATAGGGGGTACAGCACTAGTCTCCATGGGAAGCTGGACATGTCGCAGCTGGGACAGCCAGCCAGCCGCTGGGTGCTGACCAGGACCACTGCACCCATTGCACTGTGACAGCAACCATCCTACATCACTGTCCTGCTTAAAGCCTTCGCTGGGGTCCTGTCCTCCACCCCCCGCCCCTTCCCCATTAAACACTGGCTGTGTGTGGGCTAGATGCCTGGAGGGTGCCAGGTGCACCAAGGACCATGGCTCTGCCAGCACTTACCTCCTGTGATGGAGACCGAGCTGCCCCGCCAACTCAGGGGTCCAGGCACCGAGGGCAGGAACATCCTGCACCCACCTCAAAGAGCCAGTGACCCAGCACCAGCCAGGGACAGCATGAGACTGGTCTTCTCTCATTCTGAATGGGTGAGGACAGGGCAGATTTCCCTCCTGCATCCGCAGTGGTGCCTTGGGGTCTTTTTAAGACCCGCCAACTCCATGGCATCATTCACATGATAGCTTGGCAGGAGAAGGTAGAAGAAAAGTGTGTAGGAACCTGCAGAAACCCCCTCCCCACCCCAGCACTGTGACCCACCACTTCTGAAGCCTCCATCCCTCCAGCACAGCTTCCGACAAGCACCATTCCCTGCTGCTGCCCCTGCCTCACAGAGCAAGTTATTTAACTGAGCTACTAAACCTTCTTAAAGGGCAGACAGTGACTGCTGGGAAAGCTGTGAAACACTCAGGTGGCACCAATAGAGACAGCTCCCCTTTCCACAAGCAGCACATGAGGGGTTTGGGGTGGGGGCAGATCAATCCAACCAGCCCAGGCCTTGGTTTCCCACCCTGGGTGATGAGAATGTATGGTGGCAGGGTGGAAAACCCACCTGCAATTGCTCATAGAGCAATTCAGGTTCAGAAACCTTCCATCTCAAGAAGGAGAGATAGCCCAGAGACTACCTCTGCCTGGCCCAGAGCTCAGCACCAACCGTGCTCCCTTTATTTGGTTTGCAAAACACACAGGATACCTGGTGAGGGGAGGAGGTCTGAAATACAATAATATTATTAATAATAATTAGAGTTCTGACCAATTGCTATAGTTCCTGCTCCCCAGGGCCAGGCTACACTTTGGTGACGCTGTTTGCTGGCTTTGTCTCAGCTGGCTCCTCTGTTTTGGGATGGTGGGGGAAGACCCCCACCCTGTTACTCTGGAGTCCTGCACACCCCAGTGACTTCTGCCCTTTCTTCAGAAGGCAGCAAGCACCAGAGATGAGAAACAAAAGGCTCATCATGACCACGAGCAGAGCCAGCGAGCCGGCGCCCTTGGGACGTGGACAAAGCCACCAAGGACTGCTGGTTATTTTGGCTGAGAAGTTCCTGCTCTCGTCCCGGTAGGTGCAGAGGGCTTCATCCAGGTCCCGCACACCCACCCCGGCCACCCACAGAGTGTCTAGCCAGGCCAGCGAGCAACAGCTGAAGGGGTTTCCAGCGACAAACACATCCTTCAGGCTGTGGGACCAGCTCGTCAGTGACGGCTTTTCCAACGTCGGCAGGTTGTTATTGCGAACGTCCAGGCTTTCCAGTGGGGAGCAGGAAAGGCCTGCGGGTAAAAGGCTCAAATTATTGCCTGAGAGGTCCAAGACTCTGAGCGTGTCCAGGCAGGGGAGCTCTGCCTTGCTGTCATCCATCTGATTGTCCCTCAGAGAGAGTTCCTGCAGGGAGAACTCCAACCCCGCCAGGGCTTCCTTAGGCATGAACAACTCCTTGTTCCCTGACAGGTCTAGGGAGAGCAGTGAGGTCTGGTTGAAGGTGTAGGGGTCCAGCCTGGTAATGTTGTTCTTGTAAAGGCTCAGATGCCTCAAGCGAGGCATGTTGTAGAAGGGGGTGCAGGTGCCTCCCTGGGCTGGCACGTGAGAGCCCCCTCCCAAATTCCCTCCCTGATCTGCTCCCCGGCTCCCACATGGCTGGAGGCTGTTGGAGCCCAGATTGATCGTTTCCAGCTGAGGTAGAGAATTGAAAAACCAGCGTGGCAGCACACGGATGGCATTGCCGTGGAGGTCCAGCGAACGCATGGAGAGAGTGGCACGCTCTGGCAGCATGGGCGAGTGGTTGCTGGCCTCCATGCCGCTGGCAAGTGACTCCCTGGCTACGTCCTGGAGACAGTTCATAGCCAGGCTGAGGCTTTGCAGGGAGCCCAGGCTATGGAAGAAGGTAAATGGGAATAGCTGCAGCTGGTTACTGCTGAGATCTATGTGTCTCACACCAGCCAGGGGATGCCAGGTCCTGTTAAACCTCGCCATCTCCTTGTAGTGCAGTACGAACTCCTCTGGATGGTGTGAGCCTGGGAGCAGCGAAGCAATAAGGTTGTTGGAGAGGTTTAAGTGTGTGAGATAATAGGCTCTGGGGAGCTCTGGAAAGTAGAGGAGTCTGTTATGGCTCAAGTCGAGCACTTGAAGCAGGCAGGACTCCGCTCCCTCCTCTGACATGAAGAGCTCCAGGGCATTGTGGCTGAGATTTAAAACTCGCAGCTGCGTGAGGCTGAAGCCAGAGATGCAGTGGAGGGAATTCAAAGCCAAGTTCACCACCTCCAGCTCTTTCAGAGCCTCAAAAGCTCCCTCCTCGATTTCCATGATGTAGTTGTTGCTGAGGTCAAGCTCGCGCAGCCGTGGCGTGCTCCAGAAGATCCCTGCCAGCAGCCTGGTCATCTTGTTCCCAGAGAGATCCAGCATCCTCAGCCTTGTGAGGTTGCTGACGTACCAGCTTGCCATGTGGCTCTCCAGGTTATTTGCTGACAGGTCTAGGACCTCTATGTTCCTGAGCAGATGAAAGGCTCGCCCATTAGCTTGGTAATTGCGGTCCAGGTGGTTCGATCCCAGGAGAAGAGAGCGCAGCTGGGGCAGCTGAGCTAGGGTCGTGTCTGACACGGCTTCCAGCTGGTTGAAGCACAAGTCTAGGTACTCAAGCTGCCTAAACACTGGCATGTGGCTGCCCGACAGGTTTTGGATGAAGTTGTTGGAGAGCTCGAGGTACTTAATTCCTTGGCCAAGTTCCTTTGGAAACTTGCGCAGGCCAGCTTCTTTGCAGGACACCTTTGTGGGGCTCTAGAGAGAGACAGGAGAAGCCATCAGCATGAGAGGGTCTACAAACCACAGCTCCAGTGAAGCCATCTGCTGTCCAAGATGAGCATGAGCCACACAGAAACGAGCGCTGCTCCTCCTTCCCAAGCCTGGATGGGAGGGAGCCAAACCACCTAGGCCACTGCTCAAGAGACAAGAGGCTTGTCCCCAGGGTTAAGTTGGGGTTTTGGTGACACTGCTGAGTTGTTGCTGATGGTGCAAGGAGAAGGCCCAGTCTCTGGCCCCACAGGCTGTTGTCCCATGCATCCCAGCAAGCAAGATGGGCAAAAATCTAGTGTAAGTACTTAAGATGCAGCAGGCTGGTGGGGCAAACCCAGCCTCTGGAGGGCACTGGGACAACCCAGGGACTGGTGCAGAGCATCTTTGTCCTGTCTGGGCAGAGAAAGAGCACCATCCTGGTGGCTCCACCTTCCCTCTCCTTCCAAATGGGTTTCCTCTGCCTGGCTAACCTCCACAGCAGCTGTCTGAATCCCCATGAGACTCTGCACTCCATCCTGCCTCAGCATGTCAAGCTGACTCCCTTGTGGCAGGGACTGCTGGAAGGTGCCACCGGCATGGCAGGGACACGGCAGCATGTGGGTGCTAGGCACCAGCTAGCAGGAGACTGTCTAGGAGACAGGAGAACAGACAAGAGATCAAAGCTGGGCAGGTTAAAGAGATGGAGGCTGGAGGGAGGCAAGAGCCAGAGGGAGGAGATGCACCCTGTGCCGCGCAAAGGCATGCTCGCAGCCCCGCTCAGACCCAGCAATGCTGCTGGGGCCATCCCAGCGTGGGGGCTCCTTGGAAAGCAGCCTTACCTGCTGGCACAACGTGGGCCTGGGCCTCGCCTCCCCACTAGACTGGGCTCTGAGAACAGAGGGGAGCAGCCAGAGCAGCAAGCATCCTCTTTCAGCCAGCCGGTGTTCAAACAAGAGCATGTTGGGCTGTGGGTGCTGCCAGCCCTGTCCCGCTCCTCCAGCGCTCTCTGGCAAGCTGGGCAGGAGGTGGGCTCTGTATAAATAGGCTTCAGGATGGGATGGGGGAAGGAGATAACGCATGTGGGTGTTCGTAGCTACGGAAGTGGGAAAAAAAAGACATGAGATTGCAGAGGGGGAA